GTTGCATACGCTTAAGAATTTGATGATACAGCATGACTCATTGACTTTAATGACCTAGTTCATTACATTATCACTAGGATTACCATCACCGCTAATTTTCGTTATTATTTCGTATTAATTTATTAGTTTTAAAAATTATTTCAGTTATATGGATGCTGTAGCTACATAACTATCCTATTATCAGAAAAAATATTTTGTCTGTTGATTTATCAATAATAGTTTATTCATTATTAGTAATAGTTAATGTTTCCGGTACTCAATCAGTTGTTATTATAAGCTGGCAAATAAACTAACTTAAGCTCAAATAATCATGTTATGCTATATTCCAGCGTTAATGGAAAATATAATATATCTGATTGTATGATAAAATATTTTAGTGCGATGTTAACCTTTACAAATTACATATTATAATATACTCTATATATACTTTTACGTACAGAAATCTGAATAAATTTTATAGCGAAAAGGTTTAAATATGATTTATTGTAAATCTAAGTCGATCATGTCTCCTTGTATGCTTGAAATCTAATACAATATGACAAGTCAATGTTCCTCCTATATTAGACGTATATCAACACTTCAATATCCGAGCTTTCGCTCGTTAAATATGTGTTATTTTTATGCGCTGTCATGCAAAAAGCTTCGATATTGCAGTGACGAAATACGCCACCAGGCATACGGTATGATATCCATTTTTACTGTTCAGTCAATGAACTGAAAAAATCGTTTGCGTATTTCGGATCCATTTTATATTTTTACGTTAATTGATTAAAGTTTTTATGATAAGATAGTAATTTAACGATTCCGGTTCTTAAGGTACGGAATTTTTAGCTTTTTAGACAAATGCTACAGTTTGCGTCGTTCTAAACACATCTCAATATACGAGAAAGTGATACCATTTACAGGGCGATGTGAGTACTGTCAATCCGTTCCAAGTAAACCTAACCCACTTGGACTTAAAAAAAAATTACTCGCCGCCCGAGACGGACTAGTGTTAGATTTCGAAGTATATGTTAGTAAAGACACTTTTTTTCATGCCTTTTGTTTGTATTCTTGAGCCTGTTGTAAGAGGGGGTCTTAAATCTTTAATTACGTAATTAAGTAACAGATAAAATAGTCTAGCGTCAAGCACGTACGTATGCAGCTTCATCTTAAACTTAGTCTGTGAAAGCATACTGTTGATCATAGACCTCCCACGTGGTAGTGTTCCTTTTTGGTCACACTTGACAGGTGGATGACGATCGCAATATCAGACGTATTTACGACGCAATTTAAAGCCTGGGCTACGTCTCTTCTTGCCTTGTTTTCCTGACCGTGTGGTGGCAGTGTAAATGTATTCTCGAACCCTTATCCAAGAGAAATGTGTACGGGCGATTTGTAGATGTGGACCTTTTGATTCTTGTAAACCACTTTTTAAACAGTTAAAACTTATGACATTGTGTTGCATGTACGTGTATGAAATTGGAACATTTGTAAAAAAATATCCACATTTATTTCAAAGATGTATTGATAATTATACAGATAAAACATTTCCGCATAGAGATGTTACAAGATTAAATTTACGAAAGTGTAAAACTGTATTTTATCAGAAGAGCTGTCCTAATATGTGTATAAGAGTATATAATAAAATTCCCAGCGATATTCGAAAATTGCCATTTAACTTCTTTCAAAAAACATTGAAACAATGGCTTATTCAGAATTGTTTTTATTCCCTAGATGAATTTTATTGTTATAGACCAAAGTGATATTTTAATATAATCTTGACTTGCCTTGATAACTGTTGACATGTACACCTTAACTTGACATTTTTTATTTTTTTATTTTATTTTATTTTGGTATTAAGACTGGATCAAATTTTGTATTATTTCTTGTTTATTGTTAACGTCTATGTATATGTGTGTTATTTATCTTGTGACATTTTATTCCTAGGTTTATCACTAAATTGTAATTAATCATAGATATCCATAAAACATTTGTATAGCACTAGACTGACAATTATAAAATTACATATTTGCATGCCACTGGCGAAATATGATTGTACCATACCAAATTATTAATCCTGTAACTACCATATTTCTTGCAAATAAATCATTATTATTATGGGGTATCTATATAATTTTCTCATCTGGTTGGGTTCTATAAATATATAATTATAAATGAAAATGAAAAGATAAATATACATAAATATCAATAACATAAAATAAATATAAAAGTACATAAATAAGTAAAAGCCCAACCAGATGGAGGCACTCGGCAGGGGAGACCAAACGGCCGAGGGTTAGGGGGAAAGGGAAAGAAACCGGCGGACGATGCGGGCGGTATCGAGGAGCACCGCCTTCTGCATTTGAACCTGGAGCGGTCCGCGACGTAGTCCCAGCCGCCTCAGATGACCCGAGAGGCTGACTGGGATTAGCCCGTTTGCAGAGACGACTACAGGAATAATTTCGGTCGGCAGACCACCCCACATGTCGGTCACCTCGTGAGCCAGGTCCAGATATTTTGTTTGCTTGTCTGTTTCGGCTTTCACGAGGTTCTCGTCATACGGAATGGTAATGTTGACCAAAAATATCCTTGACTGTGCCCGGTCCATCAGCACAATATCAGGCTTATTCGCAAGAATAGTCCTGTCTGTGATGATGGCCCGGTCCCAATAGAGCCTGGCGCGATCATTTTCGAGCACGGCTTCCGGCAAGTACTTGTAATACGGCAATTTCCGATCCACGAGACCGTATTTCAGAGCGAGCTCCTGGTGTAGAATTCTGGCTACTAGGTTGTGCCTGTGCAAGTACTCAGAGTTAGAAAGCGCCGAACAACCGGAGATAACATGCCTAAGTGACTCACCGGGATGGCGACAAGCTCGACAGATGTCGACGGTGCCATCCTTTAGGATGTATCTCCGATAGTTGTTGGTCTTAATAACCTGATCCTGTATTGCACAGATAAAACCCTCGGTTTCCCCGAAGAGATCACCAAAGCGTAGCCAGTGGAGGGAGGCTACTGTGTCTACGAAAGGCTCATGTAGAGCCTTGTAGAACCTCCCGTGGAGCTCCTTCTCCTTCCATACGGTCTCCCGGTCGGAAATGCTCTGCACTGCCGGGTCTTGCCATTGCTCGTTGGCTAAGGATAGAGGGGTAAGTCCTTTATCATAAGAAATGACGTCCTTATAGAATGGATCATCCGATCTCGCCAGGAAGTAATCACGGAGGCTGCACACTTCGCGATTATGCATGGTGAGCGCGCTCAAGAAGCCACGACCACCATGCTTCCGCGACAAGTACAGCCTCATTACCGACGATCTCGGATGATGCATCCTATGGGACGTCATGGTAGTGCGGACTTTTCTATCCAGGGCGTTAAGTTCAGTCTGAGTCCACCTGAGTATGCCAAAGGTATACATGAGGACAGGCATGACCCAGCCGTTATATGCGTGTGCCTTATTCACACCGGACAAAAGGCTGTTAAGCACTATTACAATCACAGACAAGCACACGTCGCAAACTGACTGTTTCATACCAGTCTCATCGATACCGATGTTTTGTGACATACCCAGGTATCGATATGTTTCAGCCTCGGAAAGGGTCCTTAAGTTGACGGGCATAGATAAGTCTACGCCCTCAGAGTTAGCAACCCTTCCCCTTTCAACATGGAGGACCGCACACTTATCCGTCCCAAGCTCCATTCCAATGGAATTGCTAAATTCACAAGTGATGTTTAGCAATTCCATAAGATGGGAGCGACTGGAGGCAAATAACTTGAGGTCATCCATATAGAAAAGGTGGGTCACTATTGTCCCTCCTTTCCGTAGCTGAAATCCCCTCCCGGAGCCCTCCAGTAAGGTACTGAGAGGGTTCAGAGAGAGGCAGAACCAGATTGGACTCAGACAATCGCCCTGGAAGATACCCTTTCTTATCCTTATGTGGTTCTCCGCAGCCATCATCCGCTCGCGCAGATGACAAAGGATCGTACTCCACTGCCCCATACACTGCTCGAGGAAGTCTCTAACTGTACAGTCTATCTTGTACAGCTCGAGGACTCTCTTTAGCCATGTATGGGGCACCGAGTCGAATGCCTTTCTGTAGTCTATCCAGGCGGCGGAGAAGTTCCGACGGTTGCGTTTCACCACTTTGCCAATGACCGCGTCAATGAGGAGTGGTTCCTTGGTTCCACGACCACCGCCCCGACATCCATTTTGAGCGCGCGACATCACCTGATTTGAGTCCAGGTGACAAGTGATTCTCGCGCTCAAAATGGATGTTAGTGTCTTGTATATGGTCGGTAGCCACGTGATGGGGCGGTATTTGCTCGGGTCTGTGGTACCCTGGTCTTTAGGAACCAAATGAGTGATCCCAGTAGTGAAGAGGCTTGGGAGCGACTTCTGGTTGAGAGCCTCTTGAAACTGTCGGGGGAGCACAGAGTGACATACCATGAACCCCTTCAGCCAGTAGTGATGCAGCCCGTCAAGCCCCGGACTTTTCCAGTTCGGGACCCTACGGACCGCCTCAGCTACGTCATCCGGCGTTATGATGACGGGGTCCATGGGCGTAATACCCGCACACTGACTCGCCACAACTTCCGTCCAAGGGCCCTCGCTGTGGTTTACGGGCTCTGACCACAGGCCGCGCCAGAATGCTACAGTGTCGGCCTGATTCGGTGCTGGACCCGTTCCACTTACCATTGGTCGCTCCAATGATTCATAGAGCCTCTTCTGATCACTCTGGAAGAGACGATTCTGGTTGAACCGTGTCGACCTCTCGGTATATCGCCGAATCCGCTTTCCCCAAGCAGCGATTCTCTGCTTCAGATCATCTATGCGCTCCGTCAGTTTTTGCGTTATATCCGGCTGGGACAAACTGACATTTGTCCCAGCAAACGCCATCCTGACGGTGCGCACAATTCTTGGCCCGTTGTTGCCTGATCTGAAGCATATCAGTCTGCCGATGAGAGCTCTAGCCTTTGCGATACGTTCCTCAATTCTTCTTCTCCATGCTGGGATAGCGCTACTATGGCCAGTAGCGCGTCCAGCCGTGGAAACCTTGGCGCCTATGATACGGCAGACTGCCAGCGCGGCGCCAAAAAGAATTGAGTCCGTCTCGCAAAGGTCCCGGCTGGCTTCCAAATAGGTCACCAGCATTGGGTTCAGAGCCCTCACGACAGCCCGATTCCGCTTGCTTAGGGCTATGCGGGGGAAGTCGCGGTCGATTTTCGAGAGGCGTACTGCGCGTTTCCACAATCGCCTCTTCCAATGTACTCCTCATATGCTCTAATTCCAGTTCCTGGGTGACTGTTCCATCATCGCTTGAATCAACCACAACTGGGGTATTCACGGCGGCATCCACGTTTGCGGGTTGCTCTACCATTTGTGGCGCCGCATCCTCAGCCGTAGCATTCTCATCCGACGAGGGAACAGCCTCACGTCGTAGCCGTTCGAGTTCGGCGACATCAAATATATTTGAGCGCAAGATATACCGAACTCGGTCTGCCAGGTTTTGCTCTGTGACGGTTAAAGATGGCTTCAGCTCAGCAAAAAGACGATGCATCCTAGCCCGATACGCCAAACATCCAGTTTCTCCCCCTTTCGCCCTAAAATACGCCCGCAATGCGTTGCTGTTCATCTGGGTTGTCCAACGCATGCGTCGTGCTCCACCAGAGGCGGGTGCCGATTGCTGGGCCCGCGAAGACCCTGCCGACACCAAGCCAGCTGGTGGGGATGATGGATGCGAGGGGCTGCTGGGTGGTCGTGCAGCACCTCGCGCTCGGCTGGCGGTTCGCATGCTGCCGCGTCCAGCGCCAGCTCCAGACGCGCCCTGGCGACCTCCAGGCAGCGGCCCTTTGCGCGTTCTATTTGATTCCATCATCCTTATTATTATTATTATTATTATCACCCGTGAGTGTCGTAAGACGCGACAGAAGGTAACAAACCAGGTGCTGGCCAGTACCGTCTTTCTAATAAAAAATAAAAAATCTGCAGCTGTTACGCTGCCTGCCAAGCGTGGGAACTATGACCAATTCCCCCTATGATGCAATCTACTGGGGAGGCCTATGTTCAGCAGTGGTCTTTTCATAGGATATAACGGTAACGCCTCTTCCAAGTTAGCACCAATCAAATTGTTTAATACCATTTAAATTGTAAGTGCTGATTAAGGTACAACATATCGGCAGTAAGGGAAAACATCAGATTACCTGAATAATTATAAATATTTCGATGGCATGTCTTCAAGGAAAGTAAAAATCATTTTTTGTTACCTTAATTGGCTTTATCACCATTTATCATGAGGTGGGATAGTAGACAAGTTAAAAAAAATAGCACGCATTAAGGCAGTGTAGCTGACTCCTTTTTGTTCAGTATCTCAAAAATACGATAATGCCTTAGCCTCCAGTAACAAGATATATTGTAACTTTTATTTTTTTTAAGTATTTTTGTCAGTAAAATACATAGATACGGAAGTAGACCTTATGATTTTTGGTATATCGTGGGTAAATCTTCATGTGTTTGTGTCTAAGCCCTTATGGATTCTTCTTCCCTCGTTCTTAATTTCTAAATATCTTCTTCTTAATTCCGCCAGGCTCCGCTAAGCTGCAGTTTTTTTAATAGAATAAGGGTGACTAACTAGCACACATTCCACCTGATGGTAAGTGGATACTGTGGCCCATAGACATCTACATTTATCCTCAATTAAAAATCAAAACGCAGGTGCGTTGTCGACCCTGAGGACTAAGATGGTATGCCTCGTGTCCAGTAAAATAGGAAACTCAGCAGTCACCATACGAAACACAGCAATATTAAGCTGCTATTTTACGCTGGTATTCTGTGAGAGCGTGGTCCTTCCGCGGTCGAGCCGATCCATTCGTGTTACAAGCATAGTATAGCTGCAGCCTGGCTCTACCACTCTGCCCTGCTGTATTCTGTTCCGAAGGGTAAAGAGAGCCTTTATAACTACAGGTTATGAGGCATTCCATCATATTCCTCAGAAGTGACAACGCATCTATATAATGATTTCTTATATTTACGCGAACACTACACATTGAAATAATACTAGTTTTTACGGAATTTATCGCGTATATTTTAACTTTTTAAATACCCGACGTTTCAAACGCTTTACAGCACTCATGGTCACGGGCAGGACTGAGATGTTCAACGTCCATATGTCATAGTTAACCGCGGTTACCAAAAATTTAAATTTTGTTCCGATCTATGCAGTATGAACTTATGGTATCTTGAAGTCTTGCAGATGCAGGAGTGTACAAGCTTGATTGTGAATGTGGTCTCTCCTACATAGGACAAACTAAAAGATCAATAAAAACCCGCGTTAAAGAACATATAGCTGATGTGAAGAATCGACGCTCCGGGAAGTCTGCAGTCTGTGAACACGTACAGGATCGCCCCCGTCACTACATCAGATTTGATAGACCGCAGATCCTCGCTAAAGAACACCGATTCCTTCCAAGGATGATTCGCGAGGCTATTGAAATCAAAAAACATCCTAATTTCAATAGAGAAGATGGCTGGGTGCTACCATCTGCTTGGAATCCTATAATAAATAAAATTAAATCCCAACCCAAGCATACAACTGCAAGACTTCAAGATACCATAAGTTCATACTGCATAGATCGGAACAAAAATTAAATTTTAATCTATGGTAACCGCGGTTAACTATGACATATGGACGTTGAACATCTCAGTCCTGCCCGTGACCATGAGTGCTGTAAAGCGTTCGAAACGTCGGGTATTTAAAAAGTTAAAATATACGCGATAAATTCCGTAAAAACTAGTATTATTTCAAAACGCATCTATAGTCTTCTTTGTATGAAGTTATTTGCAGGTGTTCATGGGCAGTAAATGCAGTAGCCACCTTACCATCAGGTGGACTGTAAGTTCATTCCTATGTGACAGATTTGCAGCGCTGGGGACTTCAGATTCGAATCCCACACGGAACAAGTATTTTTTAAGTAAATATTATGCCCTACAAATTGTTCTGGGTTTGAATGTTTGTAGTTGTGCAATTTGTGTATTTCCTTGTGTTACTTTAGGGTTGGGGTAAATTAAAGTGTTACATTTAAAAAAGATTGAGTACAGGTTATATATTTTTATTGTAAGCATGCTGTAGTTTTCTAATAAATAAATTAATCTGTACGCTTGTACGTTAGTATGCATAAATTACATACTTAATGATCCGAAACCTACTCCTGGAACTATTCCAGCTACGTGTTAGCAATAATTTGTCAGTCATATTCCTCGCAGCTGTAGGGCGGAAACTTCAAAAAACATATTTTGCGCAATGATTTTTAGCAAAACTGATTAAACAAATTAAACATAAAAATTATGATATCATCATTGTATAATTATTTTATTTTTATTGAGGAACAGGTGACTAAGTGTATAGAGTATCTGGTTACTACTTCAGCGGTCTTTGAATCAAATCCCAAAGTGTAAAATACAGATTTTTGATTTCGGAACTGAATATTTGCAATGATTTATTCGTTGTCTCTGACACGACATCCGATTATACAACAGATTTTGTCACACGGATTGTTTTCATTACACAACGGCATCGACAGACGACACATTAGTTTTTTATTGCATTATTGTTGATAAAATAACAAAAAACGGAAAAAATCTAAAAATTGTAGGCCCTGGTTGTTACCTAATATTGGCTAATGAAAACAGAGGCTCATTCTCATGTGTATATATGCGTATTATACGTGGTAGAGTCACGCTGCAGCTATATTATGGTGGTAGCATCGACCGGGGAAGGACCACGCTCTTACAGAATTTTTTTAAAAGCATTAAGCTGCTATTTTACGCTGGTAGCTGACAGCAGCTTAATACTGTGTTTCGTGTGGTGAGTGTAGAGAACCGGAGACCCGTTCTATTGGAATTAAGGCATTCCATCTTAGTCCTCAGGGGTTACAACGCATCTGCATTTTGATTCTTAATCGAGTTTAAATGAAAAGACTATGGGACTCGGCATCCACTTACGCTCGTTTGTTACACTTATTCTATTTTAAAAAATGTACATTTCATTTGTCATGTAAATTCTCATGTGTATGTAAATTTTAAATGTCATGTAAACTTGGTAAAGGAATTAAAACTGTTCCTAAGACACTGGCATATTTTTTTAAGAATGAATTGTAATACGTAGGTAGGTATTTGCTGTCATTGTTATGAGAAATGCTTTTTCTCCTCATGATGTGTTGGTTGCCATTAAAGGTTTTTATGCTTAAACTGAACGCTCGGCACACACGTTATGATTATCGGCACAGTTTCCTCTCATTCCGTTTTATCTACACACACCTTTCGATTATCGGAACAGTTTAAATGGTAATTAAATCGTATCTAACAATCATATTGAACGTATAAATGACTATACATATGATTGTTTTACGTGGTAGAGCCATGCTGCAGTTATATTACTAGTATAGTTTTAGCACGAATGGGTCGGCTCGACCGGGGAAGGACCACGCTCTCACAGAATACCAGCGTAAAATAGTAGCTTAATGCTGCTGTGTTTCGTATGGTAAGTTTAGAGAACCGGAGACGCTTTTTACTGGAAAGAGGCATTCCATCTTAAACCTCACGGGTGACAACGCATCTGTGTGCTCGTTTGTCACCCTATCCTATAAAAAATATATAAAAAGTACAATGTCAGAAAGATAAATAATTGTTGAACTTATTTTTTTTTAAATCGATTACTTGCTATTTTTGCATTTAAAAAGTGATTTTAGTGGCTCATGGTGTAGATATATCAAGTCCGCATGGAGAGGTAAAAGCTTTTGAAAATTTCAATTGTTCAAATCAGTCTATTTCGTAATCTCTTCATCTATCATGTGGGAAGCCATGAAATGTAAATGGCTGTTTAAGTTTGTTTTCTTATAGTTATATTTTTTTTTCGTCTGATAAATTCTGAAAATTTTGGTGTCTTGTGCAGCCTTGTGATAATATATTTTACTTTAATAAAGATCCACTTCGTTCGACTCACTCGTCACTCCAGGCTCGGCCGCCGTCGTGAGTAGGTTACTGTATCGTTAGTTTACAGGGGCTCGGGATAAAAAATATGTATCGCTGTAAAAATACAAAATACTCCAAAAACCGAATTTGTTGTTGAAAACAAAACAAAGTTGCTGTTAAAAGTTTTTTTAAATAACAATAATAAAAAAATTATCTCAATAATAAATAACAGTAAAATTAAAAAAATCTATTGTTGTTTGAAATTTTTTTCTAAATTTTTCACAATCAAATTTTTCACACTCATAATGCTCTTATGAGTCGTGTACTTTTGGGTTTTCCAAACTTTTTTTATTGGCGTGTGACATAAAATTATCGGAAAAATTAGAAGTAATAGTAATAAGGTTATTTGTGAAAACTTGTGTGTACTTAAAATACTAAAAAAATGATGGTATACCGCCGTCTATTTATTATATTAATTAAAAATTATTCTATTTTATTCTATTCTATAACGTTGGAATTTAATTTGAACGGCTTGGGTTGATATTTGAAATAAATTATTTTTTTGTATTGCACCATCTTGTAATAAATGTA